TAATTAAATTTCAGCCTAAAATCACAAAATAACAATTGTACCAATTAAAAAACTTGGCCTTTAGAACTGTTTATAGAAATCCGAATGCATACAAAATGTAAAACAACACGAAATAATTGCTGTTCGGGTATATCGCTTTTGATTTTTGAGAAACTGCGACAAATCGCGGCTGTGCGAATTATTTGAAAGGAACTTCGCACCGAAATTTCTGAAAGTAATAGTAATAAGAACATAATTAAAATTCTATTAGTATTTTAATTTGACTTCACTGAAATTTTTATTTTCATAAGGATTTGAAGAAATAAAAGTTCATAGCACAGATTTGTTCGTTATGTGTTTGTTTATGTTGTGTCTTTTACGAAGACATGTACAATAATTTGATTATTATTTGATTATAATTACGGCTCCCATCCATTTCTTCTGCTGCACAATGTTTCACTGTTATTTTTTTTTCTGTTTGTACTGACGAATAATCGAATTACTTTGGATTTTTGTATTGTTTTTGTATATGTTTAGATTTTTGTACTGTTTAGATTTTTGTACTGTTTAGATTTTTGCACTGTTTAGATTTTTGTACTGTTTAGATTTTTGTACTGTTTAATTGTTCCGTCCATGAAATCACTCGAAATCACAAAAATTTCATGCTCTATGCAGCATATTACATTCATCATTACTTAAAAAGTAACAAAATGGATATTGCAGTATGGCAATAAATCAACCAATAAATGATAGTACAATTTCATTTTTTAAAGATACAAATTTTTCAAATCATACTTTTTCAGGATGAAAACAATAATAACCATTAGAATAATACTCATCATTGAAGCAGAAGAGGATAGCATCAGTAATGCTTCATAAAATTGAGGTGAATACGCAAGTTGCAGCCTGCAAAAGTTATATTGTTGATTTTGCAAGTAAAAAAATTATTAATAATATTATCCATCAACTTTAACATAAATCTTTATCTTTTTTAATATTATAATGATTTGTATTGAAATTGATGTACAATGAAAAGTATTTAATTATGGTGGCTGTGATGATAAAAGATAGTGTTGATAAACAAATTGTTTATTTTTCTAATGTGATGAATTTTCTTATAGTTGTTACTTACATGCACATATTAGATATGCTCCGAGCTGGTTCAATCATACTTGCAGTGACTGCAGTGGTTACTGCAATGACGGTTATCGTATATTGTGCAGCAATTATTGAATAATTTATTCGTGTGCTGTGAGTGTAATAATATATCGGGAATGCTACAACAGAAAATCTTTCCACACTATTCATCAACAAACTCCATCCACTCATGAATTCTGACGTGAAAAGAAGAAGGGGCACCTGAAATTTCACTTTTTTTTTTAATTTATAGCAATTTTGCTCATTAATT